AAATATGTTTTCTCTCCAGAAAAGTACAAAAAACGAAGTCTGGATGTCTAAAATCCGTCCCAAAATCGATCTTTAAACCCTGCTATTCGAAATTCCAAGAAAATAGCTTCAGTTACAAAATGGGGGTTAGCGGCGCTATGGAGTTAGCGCCGCTATGGCTGTAAACCTCGAGCTGCTGCCCATCGCTATGTTGTGTAGCGCCTCTAGCTGGGTTGGCCATAGCGGCGCTATGTCCTGGGCAGCTTCCAAAATTTCCAAGTTTTGAACTCGTGAGCTCTCGTCTAGCGTTTCTCGGGTACTGCCCGAGCTATAAACTCAATCTGAGCGTGCTTAAGTCGTACGAACCAGTGTGGAACTCCTAGGAACCGGAACCACATATCGCTTTCATCATCTGTAACCTGAAAACCACCACAACTGGAAAAACACGAAAACATGAGAAAAATAGGAGGAAAACAAAGAAAATACTAAACACACGAAAATAAAGATAAAAACGCAAGAAACGACAAAAGGGACCGGAAATACCTAAGAAAAGACCTAAATCGAGGAAAATGACACACAAAATACTGACGAAAATAACTACAAAAATGGGACAAACAAATATTTCACTTAAATTGTGGAAGTCTAATCCATTTTTTTTAATTGGCAGGTTAACTCAACATACTTGTTATATGATATTTCACTTAAGTTGTGGAATTTAATGTTTTTTCATTGAATATGCTACGCACATTAATGAAATTAATTTTTATATTTCATATATTCAAATAACATTTATTTAAAAATTAACAAGTAATTGATATATTTCACATATAAAGTAACGTAAATAATATAAATTAATAGTGTCTTAACCAAACATCAAACGGTGAAAACAAAGAAGAAAAAATGACAAAGTAAACTAATTATTGAGGAAAGACTGGATAAGATATTTGTCTCAGCTGAGTGGCTTAGCAAGTTTCCTAATATGGTGGCATCTAATTATTATAGATCAGCTTCAGACCATAATGTGCTTTTGTTTGATACTGAGAAGGAAATTCCCAGAAGACATCGAAGATTCCAATTTGATAGCTCCTGGGTGGCCATGGAAGGTGTGCAAGAAGCAGTTAAGTTGGGCTGGCAGATTGAGGTAGATGGTTCTGCAATGTATCAGGTTCATCAGAAAATTAAACATACCAGAATGGCCCTTTTGTCTTGGCACAAGCCAATTCACAGAAACAGTGAGAAAAGCATCAAGGTGTTGACTGATCAATTGGCTGATTTGAGGAGCAAAGGTGGGAATATTAACTGGGAGGAGTGGGAGGATATTAAGAGGGATTTGGACCAAGCTCATGCTGAGGAAGAAAGCTTCTGGAGGAGTAAATCTAGAGCTCTATGGCTGAAGAAGGGGGATTGTAATTCTAAATATTTTCATGCCTGTGTGTCCCAAAGAAGATTTACTAATTCCATCACAAAACTGGTTCATCCTAATGGGGAGATTCTTGATAATTCTGAAGCCATTGAAAACCATGTTTTCAATTTCTATTCTGACCTTTTTACTTCAGGAGGGTCAAGGGGTGGGGAGGAGCTGCTTAATTTTATACCAGTTACTATCTCTGATGCTGTGAATTCTGAAATTACCAGGCCTTTTCTGGAGGAAGAAATCAAAGCAGTGGTTTTTAATATGGCCCCTGATAAAGCTCCTGGTGATGATGGTATGACATCTATTTTTTTCCAGAAATTCTGGCACATTGTAAAAGATGACATTTGTAGAGCTATTGGGAACTTTTTCTCCTCTGGTTATATGCTTAAGAACCTTAAACACACAATTATCACTCTGATTCCAAAATGCATGCATCCAGAGTCACTTAGCAAGTTCAGACCTATAAGCTTGTGTGGGGTTCTTTATAAAATCATTGCTAAATTGTTGGCTGACAGACTGAAATCTTGTCTTGGTGAGTGTATTAGTCACACACAAACTGCTTTTATCCCGGGGAGGTCTCTGATAGACAATGTTGTTATTGGTCATGAACTGTTTCACTATTTGCATAGACATAGATCTGGACCAAATGTGTTTATGGCTTTAAAATTAGACATGGAGAAAGCCTATGACAGAGTTGAGTGGGAGGCTATTAGACTGGTGATGAGAAGAATGGGGTTCCACTCCAAATTTGTGAGATGGATTTTGAATTGTATCTCTTGTCCTTCCTTTTCTTTCAAATTGAATGGCAAGGTCTGTGGTTATGTGAAGTCTACAAGGGGGATTAGACAGGGGGATCCTTTGTCCCCCTATCTCTTCTTACTTATCTCTGAAGTTTTCTCTGCTTTTCTGAACCACAAGGTTTCTGTTGGTGTTTTTAAAGGACTGAAAGTGTCTAGAAATGGCCCTATGGTTTCACATTTGTTGTTTGCTGATGATGCTATTGTATTCTGTAAAGCTGATGAGACAAATGTTGGGATTTTGCTTGAGTGTCTTCAGAAATATAAATTGTTTACGGGCCAGCAAGTAAATTTACAGAAGTCATCCCTGTTTTTGAGTAAGAACAGTACTACAGAACTCACTGCTAGAATTGCTGCTTTGTTGAATGGGGTTCCTGTTAAAAGATCTTCTAGATATCTGGGCCTGCCTTTAGGCATTGGTGCATCAAAGCTGGAGACCTTTCAATTTGTGATTAATGTGGTGAGGGATAGAATTGGCAGCTGGAAAAATCATTTGTTATCAGTTGCAGGCAAAGAGATTTTGGTGAAGCATGTCCTATGTGCCCTTCCAGTTTTTGTGATGTCCTGTTTTGTTATGCCTGCGGCTGTTTGTAAAGAGGTCTGCAGGTTATTGGCTAAGTTCTGGTGGCAGAAAGGGGATATCAAGGATAGAGGTTTGCATTGGCTCAGTTGGGATAAACTGGTTATACCTAAAAAGGAGGGTGGTCTGGGTTTCAGAGACTTTAAGCTGTTTAATAAAGCTTTGATCCTAAAACAGCTGTGGAGATTGATAGAAAAACCTGAGTTACTTATGAGCAGGATACTCAAGCATAAATACTTTAATGACTGCTCTATATTTGAATGGCAGAATAAAGGGGGTGCATCTTGGTTATGGTCATCTTGGGCTTCCTTTCTTCCTGATTTACAAAAGTATACCAGAACCACTGTCAGAGATGGGCAATCTACTAGGTTGACTGATACCATATGGGTACAAGGGCTGGGTTTTCTGAAGCCTGAGTTAAGGGTGGGAATTGATGGGAATATGTTCAAACTGAAAGATTTATTACTGGCTGGTGGTATGCAATGGGACAGTAACCTTGTTAGAGCCTTGTTTACTACGGAGACTGCTGAGAAACTTCTGCAAATTAAATCCCTCAATCCTAACCTCCCTGATCAAACAATGTGTATGCTATCAAGTAAGGGGAGATTCTCAGTTAAGCAGGCTTATGAGAAACTTCTATCAGGTAAAATCTATTCTATGGATTTGCCTGAGTGCAGTGATTTTGCTGGTGGAAATGCTAGAGCGAGGGAGAGGTGTTGGAAACTAAAGGTTTTTGGGAAAGTGAGGTTCTTCATCTGGCAAGCTTTCTCCAATATTCTTCCTGTTAATCTTAACCTGTTGAAGAGAGGGATGGTGATTGATGAAATATGCAGAGTGTGTGGGGAGGAGCTGGAATCCCAGGAGCATGTTCTATTCTTTTGTAGGAAAGCTAAAATGGTGTGGCAATTGTCTCCTGTCCAGTGGAATAGAGTGCAGGTCGAGAGGATGTCTTTTAAACAATGGTGGTGGTGGATTAGTTCGATGAAGAAAGATGAAATATCTGAGGATAGGATTCAGTTGTCCACGTACATTCTCTGGTGGCTCTGGCGGGCCCGAAATTTGTGGGTCTTTGAGGGGCAGTGGCTTTCGGAGGATTGGCTTATCCGGGCAGCATATCGGGACTGGATGGACTTCAAGACTAGCAGAGCAAAAGATTGAAGGTGCGAGCAAGATTGGAGTCTAGGTCGAGTGTCAGTGGGTTGTAATCTTGTCTCTGTTTTCATATCTTGGTTCTGTGTTGGTTGTCTTGTGTCAGCTTTCGTGGTTGTGGTTTGTCGTATTTTTTTGTTGCTGTCGTCGGGTTGGGTTTTTTTCCTCCTGCATCTATTAGTAGTGTTGGTTGTATTGCTGTTTCTTTTTAGACGTGCGGGTTGCACCGTCTCTCAGGTTACCCAGGATTGGGGGTTTTTCCCTTGTAAACATTGCCCGTGGTTTGGGCCGTTTAATGGAGATCTTATATCGTTGGAAAAAAAAAAATGTATTTAAATTTTTAACTACATTTTCTCATTAATTGTAGATTTTAAGGAAAAAATAGCAAACACCCGTGTAATACTCGGGCGTTGTACTAATTGTACTAGTATATCATAATAATATGATATATAATATTATGATATAGTTTAAAATAATAAATTAATAACTAACTAATAATTTAAATATGTGAATGTATGGATAATAATTAAAATAAAGTTATATAATAATTTTTAATTTTAAAATATATGAAAAGAATTAAACGAGAGAAAAAATCAAGATAGATCATTACTATAATTTTTCCATTTAGATGAAAATTTTACTTGTTCGTATGGCATTTTTAAAAGTTTTAATAATTACTCAATATAAAAGTAATTACTACTATTTGCTTTGCTACCTACCACACAAAGCACAATAGGCACGCACACAGAACAGTCGCACACGCCACAGCAAACGCAATCTTTTTATTTATTTATTTTTATTATCTTTATTTATTGTCTTATTTCTAATTTCTAATTTTTGCGGCCGCCCTAATTCCAATTTTTTGCCGCGTAGGTTTTACCACTTTTCGTTCCCCAATTAGGCTTTGGGACTATACATCCCCTCATATCCCATTAACCAAACAAGCAAAAACCCCAATCAAGAAAATCTCTCCAATTCTCTCTCGATCTCGAAAGCCTCTTTTGTTTTCTACGCAGTCGCAGTTTATCGGATTTGATTTTTTGTTAAGTTGCTTCAGAAGACCATAAATAGTCACACAAGTATGGTGGCAGAAGCTGAGATTGTTTGTCGGCCGGCCGTGGCCGTTCAGTACCTCTGCGTTCCGTCTCCGCCGTCGCCGAAGACGGATGCGAAATTCTTCGACACCTCACCGGCGGCGGCTTCTGCGCCGATCTCGATTGACCTCTCTCGCATTGATTCGGTTAGTAGTCGTCGTTTTCTTGATCTTGACATAGATGGATTTCTTAATTGTCTGGATTATTTTGAGGGTTGATTTCGGCTGTTGACTTCTAGGATAAGGGTGTTCTTTTTGTTGTTTATTTTGACAGTCAGATTTGTAGTTTTGGGTGTTTGGATTTTGTCGGGAGTGCACGCACTAGTTTCTTGTTCTCTGCTACCGACCTCTATTTGCCGAATTGAATTAGGGTTTCTTTTCCATTGTTCTGTACTGATTCGTCTTCCCTTTTAGCTACTTGGTGATGGGTTTCTGGCGTTTATTGTTTTATTGGGTTTGTATGTTAGACTGCGTGAGACTTGAATTGTTGCGTTATTTGCAAGTCAGGGCTTTCCCTTATGCGGTTGGTTGTTTAGGATTTCTTTTGCAAAAGATTAGGAATGTCATGCTGGGATTCTTTTTTTCTGTTAAGAAAGAAAAATTATTGTTGTTCTTGGTTGTGCATCCAAAGCTTTAATGATTGAGGAACTGTTAATTTAGATTTACCCAAATGAATAATTTTATAATCTCTAGCTGCAAAACTTCATTTTGTCTCAGGCAAAGGTTTTGATAGTTGTACAAAATTATCTGTAATTATCAAGTTTAAGTTTAGAAACTTAATTGAATCATAAGTTTTGTATGTTTCATTTCTTCAAATAAACTTAAGAAGCCACTAGAGCATCGTCTTTCTGGAGAAACTAAAACCGAATGTTGAGTTTGCTTGAAAGCTTATCAGTTACCCCACTTGTAAATAGTTCTGTATGTTGTCTACTTTGAGCCAATTCTTTCATCCTAACGAGACCTCTTTTCCCATTGTCAGGCTCTGAGCTGCTCGACCAGCACACAGACCCCAATCCGGAAAGTTGCCCCGAAGATCTGCTCGGGCAGCCACACCGACATCGGACCCCGCAGCTCAAACGAGGATCAGCATATTCGCATTGATGACCTGCCTGCCCACCTGGGCTCTTCCCTCCTCGGCTGGCCCTGGCCCTGGCCCGCCTCCTTCTATGCAGTGTTCGACGGTCACGGCGGGCCCGATGCTGCCCTCTACATGAAGAACAACGCCACCAGATTCTTCTTCGAGGAGGCCCAGTTGCCCCAAGCCCCATCCACAGACGATATTGACGAAAAAAAGCAGTTTCTGCAAGATCTCGAGACATCCCATCGTGGGTCGTTCCTGGCTGCCGACCAGGCTCTGTCAAACGAGACGGGCCCAGTCGACCCGTACTGTGGGACCACAGCCCTCACGGCGCTCATCCTCGGACGGAACCTTCTCATAGCCAATGTGGGAGACTGCCGAGCTGTGCTGTGCCGGAATGGGAATGCTGTCCAGCTGTCACGGGACCACAGGCCTTCTTGCCAGGTCGAGCGGAGGCGTGTTGAGGATTTGGGCGGGAAGATCGAGTATGGGTACCTGAATGGGGACTTGGCTGTGACCCGGGCACTCGGGGACTGGTACATGAAGCTCCCGTTGGGGTCGGCCTCACCCCTGACGGCTGAGCCCGAGTTTGGGTTGACTTTGTTGACTGAGGATGACGAGTTCCTGATCATCGGGTGTGATGGGATCTGGGATGTGATGTCGAACCAGGAGGCTGTTTGTGTGGTGAGGGAGGAGCTTGGCCGATGCCGGGACCCAAATGTGTGTGCGCAGGAGCTTGTGAACCAGGCGCTGATGCGGGATTCGTGCGATAACGTGACAGCTGTCGTCGTTTGTTTCTCGTCCTCGAACTCGTCGTGGGATTCGACTACTTGTTCGCGAAGGTCGAGGTTTAGGTTCTGCATGTCGGAGGAGGCACGAAGCAAGCTGAGGAGCTTATTGGAATGCAATAACAATCAATGAAGGTTTAATTTGGGGAAATCAATGGTTTTTCTTTTTTCTTTCTGGAATTGGATGTAAAACTGCTTGAAGAAACTAGTCCATTACTTTAGTGTGTGGTGGTGTTAAGTTGTACAGATATATTCTTGTCAGTGGTTTGATTTTTTAGCCATCTGATTTGAGGTTGCTTCAGATTTGTAGCTGATGAGAAACAGCAGCCATCAATTTTGCTGATTGGAATTAAATTAAAATCTATGACTGTTGTGTTGTGTAGGTGATTTTGATTATATATGATATGTTGTAATGCCAAACATAATTGATTGAGCAAGTTGGATTAGTTTTCCTGAGTTCGTTTTGTTTGTGTGTTGTTTCTTGTGTGTTTTTTGATGATAATAATATCATCAAAAAAAAAATTTAGATGATAATAATATCTTGTTATTTTGTTTATTGAAATGAATGATGTGAAAATAATGTGTTTGGGGCAGTTTTGCTATAGAGCCATTGGATGACTCGGCTTATGGAGTCATCTATAGTTATTTACAAATAGTGTATTGACACGTGTCCTACAATAAATACACTTTAGACATATGTCAATACATTAAGTGATGGATGACTCCATACAAAAATTATCCGATGGCTCAGAATTTTTGGTGTTTGGGGGTGTGGATATATATGTTGATAAAATTTCAGAGATAGTGGTTTCTTTCTGCCTGGGTCAGCCATCCATCCACTGGAGTCTGGATATCATAGCTGAGGCTAATCTGAACCAAGCTTGTAATATAGGGTGGCTAACACCACCACGTTTTGCTCTCTGGATTTTAGATATTGTTATGTGAGGATATTTTAGTATGATGATATTCTAATTCAATAATTTAAATATTGTTATATTCTTTTTTTAATTTTTTTTTTTTTTTAATAGGAAAAATGAAAATTGAACATGTCTCTTTAACTCAATTTAGGAGGGTATATTCAATTGAGATTTTTAAGGACTTTTTAAAATTTTTTAAATTTGATGACTTTTGTGGACTTTGTAGAACTTTCATGACTTTGGTGGACTTTTTGAGACTTTCAGAGAATTTTCATTAGTGACTTTTCAAGACTTTCATAATGGACTTTCTAAACTTATTGAGACTTTTATATACTTGCAGTTATAATATTATGTTTAATAAAATATTAATAAGCGTAACATAATAAGCAATATAAACAAGAATAAATGAAAAAAAGATGTTGTATATATTAATCCTCTAAATTTTATGCGAAATGAGTTATTCACGAACAAATTGTTTAGGATTTTAAATTTATTAAACGAGTAAATCGATCAGCTTCAACGAGTCGAATTGAGCAGGGCCTTATATTTGTTTGTTAATAGAGTATAAGCTCAAATATGTGCTAGATATCTCTGCTATAACGACACTTATAATCAACCCAAATTAAGATATATTTATTTAATTATTGATTGATTTTATTCAATATTTTTTTGCATAATGTTGTTATATTAGAAAAATATTATTAGGATAATTTTTACAAGATACAAACATTGCCGAAAAACAGTAATTGTATCTTATAAAATTATCAATAATATTCAAAACATTTCAATATTAATAATATTCAAAACATTTCAATATTATCAAATAAACTATTAGAAAATAAAATAATTTTCTTAATATTTTGAAATAAACATTTACAAAGAAAAAGAAAGAAAAAATAAATTATTTGCAAGTGCAACTATGAAAGCATTAACCTTTGAAAAGTCAAATTCACAAGATAGCAAAATGAGAGAATAAAGGTATACACACATAAAATAAGCATAATAAAGAATATATAAAATAAAAAGATCACATTACGTAATGAAAATAAAAATTACACAAGGTATCAAAATAAATAAGTAAATAATAGAGCATGAAAATGATATGAGATATAAAGTCATGTTAGAAAGAAAAAAAATGAAAGAGAGCGTGAAAGAGTCACATAAGTCCAGCAAAATCTCACCAATATTGATGAAATTTTTGTTGAGACTTTTCCTTTGTAATTTTGTTACAAAAGTCTCTAAAAGTCTCAAAATTTAAAAAGTCTCACAAAGTCATTCTGTTTTTGAATACAGGGTGACTTATAAAGACTCTCAGAATGTTTTAATTGAATACCCTAAGACTTTTGGAGACTTATTAAAAGTCATTAAAAGTCTCAATTGAATACATGTAAACTTTTCAAAAGTCTTTAAAAGTTCTAATTGAATACACCAAAATTCTAAAAGTTTTAAAAAGTCACTAAAAGTTGAAATTGAATACAACCCCCTTACTTCTTTGGAGCCTCATTTTTACATTTTCATCATGTTTTTTTATCTTTTAGTTTTTTTATTTTTTTATTTTTTTCTAGCTAATTCATTTTCCTGCAATTGTTTTATGGTGTTTTCCAACCACTGGCTGTAGTATATAAAATTCAATATTATATGTTTCATTTTATTAAAATAATAACTAAAGTAGCATTAGGGGTAAAAAAAATCGAACATCTATATCTATATATGTATAATTGTAGGCTATCCAATTAATGCGGATAGCCTACTTGATAAAGGATCGTGTGTTTGTTCCACTCGCTTGCCTCGAACAAAGACTCGCCACGACTTGCTCTGAACGATACGTGTGATCGACTCGGTTATTAGCCTAACTCTCTCACGATACTTGAGTTCACTTGGTAATTAGCCTCGCTCCCTCGATTTGAACTAGCTTGGGTCTTAGCCTCACTAATTCGATTTGTATGATCGAACTCTCACGAATCCTAACACACGGATGAACAAACGTTCTTTTCTATTCAACTCATCATATTTCTGGACATGAAAAACAATGAGGGAAGACCCCTATTTATAGATCCTAAATTACTCTAATCCTACTCCAACTAGAACTCCTAACTCTTGCATGAATATAAATCCTAAGGCAACTAAATATCCTAATTACCATACTAATAAAATCATACTAATACTAGATCTCCTAATTGCTTGTCTTGCACTCCAAATCCTTGCCTTGCACTCCAAGCATAGAAACCCTAGCCGCCCTAGCCGTCCGCCGCCTCGGTCTTGCGCCGCCCTCGCGCCTCGCCCTAGCCCTCGAGGACTAGGGCTGCACCGCCTTCGCCCATGCGTGTATGTCCTCTCGCATCGAGGCTTAAGGTCTCGCGCACGCCATTCCTATTCCTTGAAGGATCATGCTTCGAGCTCAAATCCACTTTGCCTATTCCTACTTTGAATATGCTACCGGCTACGTTGCCTGATCTTCCGAGGATTACTCCCGTCACCGATCTTTCACGCGCGTTCCGGCACTCAGCTGCTTTTCCTATTCCTGTAGGGTTTAGTATTCGCGCCTTGCCTATTCCTACGAGGATTAGGCTTGCCCCCTTGTTCTTGCATTGTGCCTCGCGCATGTCGCTCAGCGCCCTACGCTCGCCCAACGTCCCGTGCACTGCGCCTCGCTCGTCTATCGCGCGCCCATGCATGCCCAGCGCTGCCCGCGCATCGTCCAGCGCCCGATGCGCGCTCGTCCATTCGCTGTAATCCCTCGTGCGCGCCAACCACACAACATCCACCCCCTGCGCGCCACTTCGCCTAATCTCCAAGGGCCATGCGCGTCTACGCCAATGCGCGTGTGCGCGCCCTTGCTTAATGCACCTCTCCGTGCATGTGAGCGTTGCTAGCCTTGAGACCATCTTATTGCGGCGTCTTGGTGAACTTGCCTTTGTGAACACGCGAGTCCCTCTCGCGCATACTCGCTCTTTAGTACGAGACTTCCGTCGACTACCTCGTGTTTGCGTGGACTCGTGCCGCTTCTCATGTGCTTGAGTGCCTCGCATACGAGCTCGTACTCGTCTTTTAGGCCATCCATACGTCGCTTTGGCCCTATTTACAGCCTCCTCGGATCGTCTCGGCTCATGGACCTCCTCGGCGTCGGGGCTCGAAACCCACTTCCGCATCACTACTCTTCCCGCTCAAACCATTTTAGGCTTAATAATGTAACTTTTTATTAATTAACTTTAATCAAATTTTATTATTTATTCTATCATACAATAGTTATTACTAAAATCAGCTAATTATAATTCACACTAAATCGTATATGTGAGTTAGATATTTATCAAAAATTATATTACATTTTTCCAAACTATTTATTCTAAAAATAATATTAGTTTTTTAATCATATAATTAACTTGCTGGCATGAAAAAAACCTATTAAAAATTTATGTAATAAATAATTTTTTTTTTACTATTTTTCAAGGTAATTAATTAGTCATTATCCATCAAAGTGACAAAAATATATGGCACGTATTACATTTTATTCAATCAATATATAGATACTTTTGTATTTAAATAATTTATATTTATATTGTTTATTTATTAATAACCCAATTTAAAAGATAAGATATATACATTATCTATTTTATAGTTTTAATATTATTTATACACGTAATTGGCAATACTTTATAATTTATATTTGTGTATGTATACATGATCAACTACTAGTTTATATAATTGTTGAAAAAGCAATAAATAAAACCTAATTAATAAAACCTCTATATGTTTCTCGGTCATTTTTTTCCAATTAATATTCGTTACATGTTACATTAATAAAGTATAACTAATGTTAAACTAATTTATACAATACTTACTACTAATACTAGTTAGTTATAAATTTAAATTAAATAGTATATGAAAGTTAAATACTTATAAAAGAATTGTACTACATTTTTTTTTCTTTAAGGTACTTATTTTGCAATAAATATTATTTTTTCGTCGTATTAAGCGATTCTTGTCTAATATTAGTTAGTTCGCATGAGTGTCATAACTACATCACTTAAAATCACGTAAAATTTTTTTATAACAATAATAAAAATAATTGTATTACTTTTCTAACTAATTAGTTGTATAAGACGAAAATTTTGTAGTATTGTTCGGAGGCTTGGGTCATCGTCTTGCTAGGCTTTATGTAGTGGCGGGCGTGGTATCTGAGCTTAGGAGCTCTTCTAGGAATTACTTTGTCTGTTGTCTTTTCGGATGTATCTGCTGAGGGAAGCTGTTTGTTTCTAGTTTGTAGTTTTGTTTTCTGTGTGTTGCGTTAGGTTGTTCTTGTTTGTATTTTCAGCGTTTTAGGTTTGGGTCGTTGGCATCAGTTACCCCGAGTGTGACTTTATTATCCTGTTGGGACCGTACACTCGGACATTACCCTGTTGGGGTCGTTTCTTGTCTTGTTTTGTTTCGTTTTCCATTCTCCCTTTGGGAGTTTTTAGTGTCGTAGTCATAGTTTGTGTTTCTAGGGTATTACCCCGTTAGGGTCTGTTCTAGGCGGTCTTTGGACCTGTCCTCCCAGTTTATTCAGCTGTTAGTTGCTTGTATTCAGTTGTTGGTTTTCTGTATTCAGCTAGTGGTTGTTCTTTGCACATTTGTGCGCTTTTATATAATCTCTATCGTTTCGAAAAAAAAAGCGTATAGTCCCTCTAAATTACAAAATTGCACTGTCCATTAAAATTTATTTCACAATATAAGATTCAAATGTAAGTTAAATAATTTGTATTTATATTGTACACTTGCATCTATTCAAAAGTTTTAAAATGTAATACATCTATTATTTAATCTAAAATTTTGAATATTGTATACAGACACATAATATATGATTTTTATTTCTCAATATGCATGTGCACATAAATGGATACTGGTAGTACATAATATAGGAAAATGATATAATCACGTTAATAACACATTATTTTGTACTGAAATATTAAATTCAAAATTTCAAATTTAATTGAACACAAAATATAACACTTAAATAATTGGATCATTTTAGAGGAAATTGTATCATGCACCACTAATCCCGTTTTTTATTACATAAATGAAACTTATCTATAAGTATTAACAAAAATACAAAATCTGACCATTTTAATTGCAGAATTACCAGAATGTAAAAAACCCATTAATTTAAACATGATTAATTTTAACGTAATTATAGATACTTATCACCTTCAAAAAAACAAAAATCCCAAGGTATTTGGTAAGAAAAATCTCGCCCTCATCTTTTTGCCATAACTCACCAACTACAAACCCTGTACGCGAGCAGCAGCAGAAGGAGGTCCGTTTATCACTGTCCGATCGAGCAGACCCCAGGCTGAGATCCACATTTAATCCCACCTTAATAATCCTATCGCAGGG